GGCTGCGGTGGCCTCGCTGAGGGGGAGCCTCCACCCGCCCTCCCCGCAGCCCCCGGCTCCCTCTCACCCAGCGAGGCCTCCTGACAGCTCTTCTGTCCTCTCTGCAGAGGTTTTTCCAGGACAGCATTATGAGTGATCAAATCCAGTTCATTGTTGAGAAGCTCAATCAGGAGCCCTTCAGGAAGAACTACAATTTAATCTCGTTTGACTCCTTAGAGTCAATGCAGCTGTTACAGCTGCTCAGTGATGTTCTGGGGGAGATTGACCCGAAGGTAAGGAAGGCAATCAGAGGTGCTCAGACCTGCGTAATTGCAAACATCTTAAATGGGCTTGACGCAGAAATTTGGGGGTTTTTTTAGGTCTGGCTCTGTATAATCTTATGGCATGTTTGGTTTACCAAAATAGCTTGTATGAATCTTCCTGGAAATAAATGTGGCTGGCAAGAATCCTTTCTGTCTATATATCTGTGTGGTTTTGGCAAACCAGCAAATGTTTCTTGGGCCAGGGATACTGGATCCCTGTCCTCTAGAGACTGATGACTTTATATTTTCCCTTGGGAGATCGTAACTTGGTTCATGCTGACAACTGCTGTGTTCTTAAGTCAAAAGTCAGGCTGTGTCTTGCACACACGCACAGGGTAGGAACTGACCAAGAATGGTACCTCATGATTTAGCCATTGTAACAGATATTTAATCCCTCTCCTCTGAGGCTACTACAAGTGTGCGTAAGATCAGAAGGGATCGTTCCTGCCTCTGGGGCACAGATATGTGTGCCTTAGTGTGCTTGGATATCTGACTTCCTTGGTGGAAGTAATCAGTTTGTCGGTGTAGATGTGGTCCCATGAGCAGGGAAAATGTAGACCTGGGATAAATTCACATGAATACACATGTTGGAGAAAAATCCATTAGAAGATAATTGAAGTTTGGTGATAAAGAGGATGTTCTGTATGGAGCATCTCACTTCATTGACATACCATGGATAAATGGATAAGGTCAATTATTTCTTGCTAGTTAATTAACATGAGTTGAACAAACTGGATAATTAATTTATTTTTTTTAAACTATTTAGCACGCTGTTGACATTAGAGAGGAGCTGCCGGAACAAACAGCTAAAAGAATGTTGACTCTTCTTGGTATCCTTAAATACAAACCTCCAGGAAGTGTATCAGACTTGTAAGTAACTTTTTGTCTACAAAGCACCGTAAAACGTTTTACAGCTTCTACAGTAACGACCTTTAATTCAGTAGCTGGGTGTATTTTTGACCTCGACTGTCCCAGTGGGTGTGTGTAACGCCTTGAGGACAGCTCCTGCCTTGTCCCTATGGAATATGCTATGGGGGATGGCAGCAGAAGGCTCCTGCAGGTGTAGGTTGCCCCCGGGGCCCTGCTGCAGCAGCTGCTACTGCCGAGTCAGCCAGGAGAGGGTGCCGAACGACTGGCAGGGTCACTCCCGTCCCCGTCCCTTTCAGACCAGCTGCCCGAGGCCGCGTTGCTCCCTCCTGTGCCAGGTTATAACCCAGAAAACCCACGTTCTTCCCATATTGCTTTTATTCCCGAAGAATGTCGCAGAAAGGGAAGAGTCGTTGTTAGCCTTTTGATGAGTTACGGGGTTTTTATCTGTCCCAAGGCAGCAGAATCGGGATTGTAAAGAGCAAACTGGCATCATGAGTGTTTTCTCTTTTGACAGCATTAAGAAAATCATTAGGCAAGTGGAGAGGGAATGTCAAAATATTGCAAATGGTTTGTTCCAAGCCACTGTTCTTTCGTTTGGGAGTTACTGGCGTTTTCTTTTTGTTGTTTTTGTACAGGAGTGCATTTCGCCAGGGTTTAGTTACTGGAAGCAAACCTGTAATTCATCCTGTCTTACACTGGCTTCTTCAGAAGACCAATGAACTCAAGAAAAGAGCTTACCTGGCACGTTTCTTAGTAAAATTGGAAGTGCCAGCAGAGTTCCTACAAGATGATACTGTGGCTGACATCAACAAACAGGTACCATTTTTCATGAATGCCAACATTTTAATGTCAGTTAATTAAAGTGCCAATAGGAGGAGGGATAAATGAATTGGGGAGTTACTACTGAGATACGTGTTGAAGTGAGTTATGTTAAGAGCATGTTGGAATCCAGGGTGATTGAAGATTCATTCTAAGAAATATATGTCTTGACCACCTTTCTTCCAATAACCCTGAAATTGTACATTAATAGGTAGTGTTGCATTAAAAGGTTTTGAGCCCATTAAGTACTAGGTACTAAATAACATTCAGAGCCATGTTGACCAAGACAGATTTTTATTTCTTAATTTTTAAACAATTTTTTTTTCCCTATGAACTACGTCATGGATATTTTTAACTTTATAAATTACCACTTCAAACTAGTCCAGAAAAAGTTAATGACCAAAAGCCGATATCTCCTAATTGTCAATTGATTATATAGTATTTCAGCACCTAATATTTGTATTAGCCTTATCCCACTTCTGCTTCAACCATTTATTTTTTGTGAATAAATAAAGAAATTTCTTTCTCCTGAGCTGACATTCCTACTCATTATGTTCCCACTTCTTTTGTGAGCATTAAATGTTGGTTTTAGGTAGAGTGGGTAGGTTTGAAATGTAAAGCTTGAAATGAATCAAAGTTAGGTTTTTAGATCTGTATTATCTGAAGTACATATTTACCCAGTTTTTATCCAGTTTTCTGTGCCTTTTGTTATGTATAGTGACTTGCAGAATCCCAGTGTTTGTAAATATTTGTAACAGGTAACTTGATTTGTTAACTGTGCACCAGCAAAGCTGGATAGTCTGACTGAAGTTTGACTTTGCTTTTATTTTTCTGGTACCACTAACAATATTGGATTTGTAACTTGGAATAACTAAGCAGAAGTAGCAACGAGAGAAAGGAATGCAGATTGTATGTTTTTTCAGTATGTCACAGTTTTAACATGGATAAATATCCAACTCCATGATTTCCATTACGTAAGATGTGTTCTTTTTTTGGGATTACAGTAATATAACCCTCTTATTAAACTAATGCCCTGCTGATTAATTCCAAACAGAAGCTGAGGTAATATAATGCCTTCATGTAATGTAACATTACCATGCAAATATTTAAATACTAATGAAGTGAAGTATTTAGATAGACAGGCTTGCAACAGGGTAATTTTAAGAGAAACATTTCAAACCTGAGAGTCTGGAGATCTTAGAACATGGTCAGGTTTTATGGGTGTATAGAATCAAGCTCAAATGTACTTTTGTAAATTAAAGATACTCAGAATACTTGCCACCTTCCCAATTGTGTTGTGATTTGGACATCAGATTGGCTACAGTATATAATTTAAAAAATAAGCAACTTGAGGCATAAATCTGGTTGTCCAGTCTTCAGTGAGTTGCCCACAGGTGCCAGGAATCTTTCTTTCTGCTCTAGGAACCTGGATGTTCTCTGGTCATTTGAGTGAGTCCCTTAGTTCAGGTACACGTGGGGCAGCTGCAGCTTTTATGTGGTGAAAGTGAGAAACCTTCCCTTCGTTATCATCTGGCAAGCTGTGCTGTGCCCTTGTTTGAATCTTGAAATCTTGTGTCCCAATAAGGAGAAGTTACTAAACTCCCCTTTTGAAAGAGGCAGAGAATCCACACAAAGTTAAGCTGTTGGACGTTAGCAATTGTGAATACAGTTGCTCAGAAACTACCTGCTGTTTCATTATTTATTGAAGTACTTAACTTCTCTAATGCATAAATGATATAATGAGGCCACTTGTGGTTTTACTCCTGCTTTTTTCTAACTCATTCTGCTTTGTCCACCATGTGCATGTCTTTTCATACCTTTATTTGCCTTTTAATCAAGCTCTTTCTCTAATATCTTCTCCTCAGTAGCCATTTATTGCTATTTTTTTAATTCATTCCAGCTTGTAAATGTGTGCCTGATATGGAAACAACCAGGAATGAACAGAGCATTCTGGATGCTGGTTCCCCAGAGTCTTATAGAATGGAATTGCTGCTTCATTGCTCAGGGATGTGATTCTTTTGTTTGAACTGGCCTTTGCCATTTTGTGTTCAACATTCATATCAATTGCTCTTTACTGGAAGTAAAAAATGACACGATATTCTCTTTCCAGAGTTTTCCATCTTATTGAATGGCTGTTTCTGTGGAGATTATCCTTCCTTATATCTCAGCTTGTATTTCTCCAAGTTGAATCTAAATTTACTTCCCATCCATATTTCTAAACTCTTTCTGTCCCCTGTTATTTCTCTACCCACACAGACTTTCACACTGCCTCTCAGTTTAAGATTACTGGTGGGCAATGTACTGGTGTGGAAGTAGCACACTGTCTACTTCTTTCTAACTAACAAACTACATAAATCAAGCTGTAATATACCCAGGGCATGATTATGCAACGTGCCAAAGCTGTTTCTCACATGTTAAGTCAGGTGTGCTCTCAGACTGCTTTGCTGAATTGAAGCTCAGTACTCTATAAATTCAAGCTTCTTTACTTCTATCAAGAATGTTTTTAGATCCAGCTCTTCCATTGGGGTGACAAATTTACATATGATATACACAGATTTATAGTAAGAGAGAATAATTTGTTAATACAGCATTGTCCCTTTTGGATAACATCTTATCCTCCTGTTTTGAAATACACTATGTGTTACAAGGGAAGAGATGAAAATACTGAACAAATTGTGAAACTTCTGAGCGTACCTTCAAATGGAAGATAATTCACTGTGGTTTTTGACTTTGCTTTATGAGTTGACAAGCTTTTGTGATGATAAAATGCCTTTAATTCTTGTTCTCTTCATATTTCTGTTTCTATATTTACTGTCTTAGTAGTAAAGCAACATGTTGATCTGAAAATCCTTAGACACAGAGCTTATTCTGCTTGGTTTTTATTTCATTTCATAGTATGAAGAACTGATGGAAGCATTTAAAAGCCTACACAAGGAGTGTGAGCAGCTCAAAACATCTGGCTTATCTACTGCAGAAATAAGAAGGGTAAAAAAATCTGACAAAATCACACAACTTTTGTTTAGATTTTTTTAAAATATCAGTTCTATTTTTGGTGGCTTTGTGGACTTACTGCAGGGTATAAGTTGTAGAGGTCGGAGCTGGTAGTCACTGCAGCTGCCCCTTTTGAAACTGTTCTCTGCTGGCAAACAGATTAGAAGGGCCTTGCCTGTGCTTTGAGCTTTCTGAAGCAGATTGGGAAGCAAGGCTGCCAAGTCTCTGATCAGCAGGATTTTCAAATATTAGAACTCTCTTTCCTCTGAATGCAAACTGATGCAAAGCCTTTTGCTTTACTGATACAGGGTAATAATTTCATAGGGTGTTGAGTGAATTAAGAGCTTAAATCAACAAAAATGATGATCCTGTGTGGCTAAGGTGCTTAGTAAAGATATTTCCCCAATTTCAGTAAAATACTTAAGCACAGGTACAGTTTTCCAGCAAGATGTATGGACAAGTTAAGCAAATGTTGAGATAAAGCCTAACTTTGGAGAATTTATTTCCTTTTCTCTCATAACTATCAATCTCTGGAATCCTGCTGATAGGATTTAAGGAGAATAGTAGTCAGATACATGTTTTAGCACTAGAAAATGTTTCTTTTAACACAATTTTAAGATAAAAAGTGTCAGCAAACATCACTTATACCAACTTGATGCAAAATTGTCTGCCAGGAAGTGAATAATGATGGTAACGTTAAGAGCATATGACTGAGTGTGTCAGATGTTGATTTCATGCTGATTTTTGCTTGGTTGCTTCTGTTTGTTTGCTTTTATTTTAGAGAAACCCACCTGCTTTTATTTTAAATGTTCACACTAATACTCAAGGATGCAGCTGAAGGAATGTTAGCATAAAGAGAGTGGGAACTGTGGGGGAAGTAAGAGAGAAGAGAGATTGGAATCCTGGATGTTCTGATCATAGATCAATAAAATTATAACCACTTCAGTGTATTCAGGGAAGAATTCTGATTTTCATATTAATTTGAACAGATTTTAGTCCAATCTATATTATATTGTAAACAAATTAACATTTCTTTATCTATTTTTTTCTGCTTTTTAGGACATCAGTGCAATGGAAGAGGAGAAAGATCAACTCATCAAAAGAGTGGAGCGTCTTAAGAAGAGGGTAATAAGAGAAGTAACGCTGCTACATTTCAGTGTCATAATCCTTGGCTTGCAGCTTGGATTTTGGAATGCAAACGAGGATTAAGATAAACACACTGTATGTCTAGGAAGGAATCGAATAACTAATTGACCCACAGGGAATCTCCCTAGGCCTTAGTCCAGAGCTTTTAAGAATCTTGAGTCCAGTACTTTGCTGTCATTTCTGAGTAGTAACATGTATGGAAAGGAAGTGCTAAGTGGACTTGCGAGACACACGATCTCTTTAATGTGTTTCTCAACTCTCTGACAGTAACATGCACTATTTATCCACTTGCTGTAGGTGGAGACAGTACAAAATCATCAACGGATGCTTGAAATAGCAAGACAGCTTCGCTTAGAGAAAGAGAGAGAGGAATCTTTGGCTCAACAGAAACAAGAACAAAAAAATCAGGTACTGACATAAAAACATACCTATTAAAATAAATAGTTGTTGACATTTGCTTGCAAATCATGCATTTAAAAAGGTACATCAGGAACAACAGTACAGAATTTCTCCCAACATCAGAAAAATTAAATCCCATTTAAAATATAAATATTTATGTGCATTTTAAGGGAAGAGGCTTGACCCTGCAAGTTTTGAACACCTCATTCAAGGTACTTGGCTGCCTCAGCTGCCACTGACATCATCATTTAGCAGTCCCAGGAACTGTTCCAGGACTTACTGTTGTAGCATCCAAAGAGAATTCTTTATATGTATGGTAGTGAGCAAATGTTTCCTTAGTTTGATTTGTCTCTGTGCATCTGCACTAAGATTTCAGGGGCTGACTAACACAGCAAGTACCTCAGGTTTTCACTGGGTGGGGGGGAATATGAATTCAGGAGCAACCTTGGGATTTTGGTCCCCGAGTTTGACAAAGGTGAAGTCCTCAGAAGCACTGGAAGCAGTTGACATCTGAATATAAGGGTGGGTTTTATTCCTGAGCTATGTTGTCAAAACAGGATACTTTATTAAAATCCAGTGCCATATTGTTATGTCATCTCACCAAATTCTGTAACATGAACTTCAACACAGCATTAAAAGGGGAAAACCCCCCAGATTTTCAGTATTGCAGTCTATGTCTGGATGTGGAATCGATGTGAATCAGTAGGCTTTTTCTTTTGGATCTTTGCTTGAACCTGAGTGAGATCACAAGTAAAATGAATGTGATGTCCACCTAATTCCAGTTCTTGGTACACATCTCTCTAAATCACAAAAATGTTAATCAACTGGCTGTTGTTTGGCAACAAGCTTTCCAGTATGCTCTCAAGTTGGACAGTGAATTGCTGTGAGAACTCGGCTGCATTGAAGAACTGCAGTATAAGGATAGTTATCTGCTGCAATCCTGATTCTTGCTGTCTTTTTTTTTCTTGTTGTTCTGATGTTCAAGCCAGTTTTTGGTTGAAAGTTGTTTAATGGATTTCTGCCATAGAGAGAATATCACTTCAGAGTACAAGAATACTTTCCTTAATTAACACTAGAGAATATAAAATAAACCCAGTCCAATTGTTGAAAATTTGTTTTGGCACGTTCCCTTGTGAAACAGATAATCAGCAGATGCTTCTAGCTACCATTTTTTATATTTAGGATTCTTTTTGATACTCTTTTATTTGTCTGAATATGCATTTCAAAGGACTAAGCTTATATGTGTCCAATTCTCTCTCAAAAGTTGTTCCATGCAGAGCAGAGATTGCAAAGAGCGCAGCTCCAGCTGAAAGAGATGCATCATGCAGTAGTGGATTCAAAACCTGAAAGTAAGTAGTAAGCTATAAAGGCTGGGGGTGTACACTTCTGTTTTGGAAATCAAGACTGCCTGGCTGTCAGTAACATGGTTGTGCCAAAAAGCACACAGGAACTTAAGAGAATCTAAGGAAAGAAATAATTTGTGTTCTAAAGGCTTATGCTGGAGATCCTAAGCCTGAATATGCCTTGCCTCAAAAAGCCAGGGAGACAATCACAAGGGAAGATTGTCAGTCATATTTTTGAGGTCTACATTTTAAAAAGTCTTAAAACAGTTAAATAGTGAACACAAACCATAATACTCTGCAAGAAAAAAACAGTTGGGACTACAAAAGGTTGGAAAAAGCAGAAGCCTATTAAAAAAGACAAACTTCTGATTTAGTAAGGTTTTATATCCTTTGTGTTTGTAATTAGGAATGTGTGAAATGCTGCTTCTTAAAAATTTTCTCACTTCATGTACAAACACATTGAATACTATTTATTCAGTGTAACTTGTTTTTCTAGTTACCTTCTATAAAATATTTGTTTGAAAAGCTTTAAGGTTTGTTTCTTATTGTAGTGCAGTTTTGTGTTGTAGTTTTTTTATGGTACCAAAAATAAATCTACTTCCTAATTAAGCTTTTTTAATAAACCATAGATTATATATATGCACACACACTCTTATATGTTTATATATAGTAGATATATCTATATATTAAAGACTGTATATTTATATATGAATATATTTGTTTACATATGAAAATACTTTGTTCTCATTATCTCAGTCTGCAAATAACCTCAGCAAAATAAATTATAATGCTCGTGGAGTAAGTTAGTACTCTGTGATCATTTATAAAAACAGCAGGTGGAAAGGAATTGCAGTTGCTAGGTAAGTGTGTAACTAACTGTCTCCAAAGGCTACAATTTGAGAACCTCCAGGTTTCTGATTATTTAATCACTTTGAAGGAAATGTAACAAGCCAGTTTGACAACAAAGCTAGGAGTCAGTTTAGGGTTCAGTGTTTGAGGTGTGTGTGATCTTTGGAAGATTGCTTTAACCCCTTCCAGTTTCTCTTGCACTTGGTTATTAATAACGCATCATAGGATTGATGGAGGTTTTATGTGCTGTTTATACAGGTTTTGGGGCTGATTTACAGGGAAAGACTTTACTGTAGGTGAAGTAGTGTGAAGGTATAAGAGTCAGAATGGTCCTTTTCCCAGGGCTGTAAGTCATTGTCCTGCTTTTTCAAGTATATTTAATATTCCATTTGCATCACATAACTGCTTTGCCAGCTGTTTTGAGTTAGAGAATTTTTTCAGTCACCACCACGTTGTGTTGTTATTACTTCATAACTTTAATTTTTTACGATACTCGTCGGCCACTGAACTACAAATGGAACTAAGAGAATATCTGAACTATCTTCTTTACTCAAACGGGCCTGCAGTGGATTTTATAACTGTTCCATTTTTGCAGTAGCTATCGGAGAGTTTATACAGCAAAGCTGTGTCAACATTTCTATTTCAGTTCCTGGGTTTTTTTAAGGCCAATGGAAACTTGATGGTTTCAGTTCAGAGAAGCAAAGGTAACATAATAAAAAGTCAGTAAATATGTCATTTAATCATTGAGATGAAAATAAAGATAAACTTAACATATTTAATTTCCTTATCTTGAGTCCTGCTTGCAGGGAAAAAAAACAGTGTTTAGATGTTCTGAAGAAATACTTGGAGTCATTACTTAAGAAAACTTGTGTTGAAATTTTGCCCAAACAAAGACTTCAGGACTTAGCTTTGTAATTGCTTTCCCCCACAGTAGTTACAAAGTCACTGCCTGTAGTAGCAATTCCAGAATGCCAACTATGTTTTTTAAATAATTGAAATTAAGTGACCACAGTGCACTGAATAGGAATCCATTTATTTTAAAAGCTTTGTTGGTCTACAGTTAGCACAACTTATTTTATTTTAAAAATTCCCTTTGGCTGCAGTTTGGTACCTCAGCTGCCTCCTTAGATCAGTGTAGCTTCTCTGCTGACAATTCAACAGCTGGTTGGTAGCTGTGGGTTTTCACTGGAAGTTAGATACTTCCCTTTAAAATAATTTGCTTCCATTTTTAATACTTCATGTGTTTTTTACTTCCTAACCAAGATAATGATAAAAGTTGTTCTTAATGAGTGGAAGCTTTTTTGTTTGTCTTATGGATGCATGCTGCTTTGATTACTTCATCTTATAATTAATTTAGGATGAAGTACTTGAAAGAAATGTAAAGGAGCTCTTTAAGGAATGCAACTAGCATGTATTCATGAGCTTCATTAACATGCAATTAGCATCAGTCTCTTTTATCTGTGCCAGGAAAATACAGCTTATGGTTACTAGATTTTTAACTCTTAAAATATTTAGAATATTTTTTATTGTGTTATGAAAAACAATTGATTGTTATGAGGCGGTTTGTCAACTAAAATTGATGGTACTGGTTTCCACAGCACACTCCTTCCCTGTTTGTTCACTTCAGTACTGCTCAGTATGTTGTTTACTACAGAGAGGCACTTGCTGCTGGTAGCACTAAGTAACATGAATTTGTAGTTGTTGTTGTTCCAGATGTGAATGGTATTGATATGAACACTGACCACTAGCTTGAGGAACCTAGCTGATGCTTTCTCAGCAAGTTTGCCATCTTTTTGCTTTGAATATCTCTGCTGGCACAAACACAAATTGTTAATACCAAGAAGCGAACTGAATTAGTGAAATTCTTGATCTCTGTCCATTATACAGAACATTATTGTTCACTTTATTGGCAGAAATGGCTTGAAAATATTGATTAAAAGAATGTGTTAAGATGATTGTTGTTGATAAACAGTGAAATGTGTGATTTATATACTTCATTAAGTTAATATCTAGTAATAGATTTAGACCACTTTGCTGAGAACATCAAAGGTACAGGTGAGAGAGCAATTGCTTTGTACAGATGTCTGTTTTATGTCATTCTGAACACTTGATGAAAAATAGAAATTTAGGATGCTATTATTTAAATATTCCATTTGGATGAAAACTTTAACATTTTTCTTTTCCCTAGAATTCCCTTTCTCTAAAATTCCAAGTTTAAATTATCTCCACCAACACTGCAAACCACATTACAAATAAAGTTATAGATTTTAATGTTAGATGTTTTTGGTAAAGGAGAATGGCTTAGGTGGAACTTTAAATTATTTTATTTATTATAAAGTCACTGCCAATAGATGCAAGGTCGGGGTAAAGCACTTTTAAGCTAACTTGATGTCTTTGAGAATACAAGTCTGGTTGGTAAGATTAATAGTATTGCTGTGGTTGACAGAGTGCTCCTCTGTTTTATTTTTATTTTATTTCCCCTCCCTTTTTAAAAAAAATATGTTATTGTTGCAGATGGTTTTGGTATAGGATGCACAATTGGTAGCCTGTAGAGGGAAAAGAAGTAGGAATCTGAGTGCAAGGTGAATCAGGTTTTAGATCCATGAGCAGAATTGTTCAGAGAAACTTGCCTCTTTTCTACATGACTGAGCAAGCACTAAAAAACTCTCCCATCCCTCTTTGTAATAATAATAATAATAAAAATTTGAATGGAAAACATGAGGAGTTGCTCTTAATAGCTCTCCAAATGTAAATACGTGGTTGGCAGAACCTTACTAAAATAACTTTAGGGCACAGAGCCAGACTTTCTGTGCAGCTTACGTATGTAGATTTTATAACCATAAGTCAATGCTAAAACATTAAAAACAGAATTTATATGTGTAATGGAAAGATTTAAAGTATGCTTGCTTTTCTTTCCTCCAGCCTGGGAATTTGAAAAAAGAATGTTTTTCACTTAAAAAAACCAAAACAAAACAAGAGCTGCCCTATGTTTTGTTTGTTAATGTTCTGTTAAGCAGGAGAAATAGCTCTTAGGTGGTTACTTCTCCATATGTTGAATTGTATAAGAGGAAAAGTATATCCAGAGTATTTAGGAAAGAAACGACATTAGTCATGAAGGATGTTGACATTATCATGTCTTTCCCCATCAAGGTGTCAAGTTTTAACTTGCTTCGTTGCTTGTTGCACCATCAAGAGTAAGCATGATGCAGAACCAGTCAGTGCTTAAAAGAAAACTGAGCTTGTCTGAGAAATCAATCTGGGTAGTGATCAAGGAAGTCAGTGGGTTCCAACTCTTATGAAAGCAATTGTTTAGGTGTGGTTATTTCCTGAGTTTAGTGTCATATCTACAGTAAATTATTTAGACATGTACATTTTTATAAGAAAACTGGAGTAGTACCAGAAATCAAGTATAGGATCTATGTACAGAATTTCTTTGCTACTAAGAGAAAAACAAGAAATTAGTTTGATGAAATAAAAATATTAATATTTAATATCAGAATAATATAATTGATATATTTTTGATTTCCACACCGAAGATCTTGGTTATAAATATCAAACTGGGAGTTGTGTTCCTAGTCAGTTCTGAGGTGATAATTCAGCTCACAGTGTATGTGGGAAGCTTTGCTGCATTTGCAGAGGTGGTAGATTTCTAGTGAAGACATTAAAATGTGGTCCCTCCTGCCCAGCTCTGTCGTGGGCTGAGGAAGACTGGATTTGAGTTCTTCTGGAAGAAAGAAGTGGAAATTCTCTCTCGGGAAGTTCAAGTGTGTTTCTCACAGTAGAGCTGTAGTGCCGAGTCCATAATGGCTACTGCATACGGAGGGTGACACTGCTGCCCATTCTGAAATCAGGGCTGATGCTGTTGGTTTTGCACAAGACAAGTGACCTTTCCACGGAGCAGGAAAGATCACTGCCCCGTGGCAGTGTTGCTTTTCATAAACACTGAAATCAACAAACTAAACTGCTGGAAAAGAGGAATTCCCGCTCATTTTTAGTTTGCATTGACTTGACTCTGTTAGCAACGCTGCTCTCTCTAGGGTCTGTTTTCTTGTCCTTCTTGAGGCTTTGTCAAGAACTAATGGCTGATTTCTCTCTGTCAGCTAAACCCAGTAGCTTTCCTTTCAGCCTGAGCTGGGAGCAGAGGCTGAGGAAGATCTATCAGTATGGTGTTTCTAGAGGTAAATAGCAGCAGAGTCATGGGGGCCCCTTTTCCTCGGCTTGTGTTTCACTTTGTTCTGACCTTCTCCTTTTGTCAGTCAGTGATATGGTTGCCAGGCTTTGTAGCCTGAGAACAGAAAACTCTGCTTTCCCCTACATCCTTTCCCATCTCTGTTTCAGCACCATCAGCTGTGCTATTCTATCTCTGTACTCAAGCTTTTCCCTGCTTGTGCACTATATGGAAGGGGCAGAGATTATGAATTTTTTGTTTTTCTTGGCATTTCATGGCAATTCCATATTCTCCTAAATACAGAGAGAACACTACCCTCATCCCTACCCCCTACTCTAGCAAGTAGTTTTAAAAAGTTCCTAGGATATTTACCTTTTAGTCATCTAGGTAATGAAAAATAATCTGAAATACCTATTCCCACTCTCATCTGCCATGTAATTTCCAAATCTTGCTGTGGTCCTTGGCACAGGTGTCTCGGAGGAGTAATTGCACTCAACTGCCTGTTGTCAGTGGAAGACTGTGCAATGTAATTTAAATAGCTGCTTTATTTTATTCTGTTGCATTTTTCTAGCTGTGAATCTCAGTGTACCTGTGTTTATTTATAAACTATCTGTTAAGGAGGCTAAATTACTCTACCTAGCAAGAGCCAAGTCATCCTGGTAACGTGCAGCGTGCATCTGGCTTGTGTAGAGCAAAACTTACAATGTGGCTGCTTTTCTGGACAGCATTTTTGATGTTACTCAGCAATTCCTTCTTGGTTTTTCTGTTTTACTTCATGTCCAAAGGGTTTTACTTGTTTATTGATGAAAAGAATCTGTCAAGGAGTTAATAGTTATATGTTAGAGATACAGATGGATAATAATACATATTATATTATTTAACATGCAGATTAAAAATTGAAATCAATTAACGACCTGTTTCTTTTGAGCTTTGAAAAGAAGACTCAAATGTTATGCTGTTGTTATTGTAATCTGCTGCTAGATCCTTTAATGTGTTGAAATCAAAGTTAATTATCCACTACATTACTTTTATAGATACACACTGATCTAATTTGCTTTTAAGGTTTAATGAAGAAACTAGAAGAGGAGATAAATTTCAATTCATACCTGGTTACTGAAAAAATACCTAGAGAGCTTCAAAGTAAGAAGAATTCAACATATTTCTTACAAAAGGCGGTTGCAGAGCCAGCTATGAGTCAATCTGATCTCAATGTTCTTGAAATCAAGGTAAGTTGACCAAGGTCACACTTAATTTGTGTTCTGTAGCATAGTCTAAGGTTCCTTGTACACTGTAGTTTTCTTATCCCTACTTTATATCCTTGAGAAAATGTTTAATTCCCAAAGGAATATCTCTTCAGTTGTGAAACAAAAGAAGATTAACATTTAGTTAATCACTAAATGCAATCTCTCAGATAAGTTTTTAACAAAAACCACAAAACACGTAAGAGCAAACAAACAAACAAACCCCAAACCAACTCCCACATCCAACCCTATCCTTAAATTTTAAATGCTATTTAAAAACTTGTGTTAGCAATTTGCTGTGGTATGAGCAGAGATGTTAATTTAACACTAAGGGTTAGGTCAGCCTTCTCGTAGCTCGGAGTCTTAAAAAGGAGCTGAATTGCACTAAACATGCATTTTATGATATATAAAACAGGAATTTGTTCCCAGAAGGGAATTCTTATGCCACCTTCAAATTCAAGCCTGTTCTACCACTTTTGTAAAGGAATAGAATTTATTTTTTAGCGTTTGGAAAGGAATAGAATTTATAGATTTTTCTTTGTCAGGTGTTGGAGTATTTCAGTCCTATAGAGCACTTTATTTGAAATACTTGGCTTTCAAAGGACACGGATATTGCTCATATGAATGTTAGAGTCCTGCCCAGTACTGTACCTTCATTCTGTTTTGACTTGATTGGATTTCAGCACATATTTACACTGCTTGCTTATCAGCACTCATCTAGCAGCAGAGAATGAAAGGAAGGTTGCTAGGGCTGTGGTTTCCATGGCTGATGAGAGTCCCAGTGTAGCATTAAGTCAGGTCTGGAAAAGCTGCAGTCAGGACACTGGTGTAGATGTTGATGAGTTTCCAGGTGGATTATGTTCTAAAGCTTCAGCTGGAATGAAGATCAATAATTTGAGACTATGGACAGTCAGGTGCATTTTGTGGCAGTGGAAAGAAGGTACCATAGAGCTGGAATATGATGGTCTGTGACTCTTCAAAGTGTTGATGAAATTTAATATCACTTAGTCTTTATTTGCTCCCTTTTAAACTTCTGATAAATGATCGAGTGAAAAGGAATTTTAGTTAATATTGATAAAGTTATATTTTTCACATAGTATGTGATGACATCAGTCTTTTTTCTGTCTGTTCCAATTCACATTTGCTCTCCATGTACACCAGTTTACTTCATTTTCAGGGCCAGCGTCATGCCTCTGCCTTATCATAAAGGCACAGAACTGGAAATCCAAAAGCATAACCTCTTCCTGGCCAATATTTAATGACTCATTGAGTTTTTTGGGTTTGTTTCTGTGTTTTAAAAATGGAACTAGCTGGATTGTAAGTCTGGTTTGCAAAGCATTTAATTCTTGGAGAAGACAAAGAAATAAAGCTCTGTTTCCTTAGTTTTCTACTCTGTCTTGCAGATAAATGAAGTAAACGCAGAATTGAATCAGCTTATTGAGAAAAGAATGATGAAGTATGAGCCAATCGATAGTAAATTTTCCATGTATCGCCAACAGGTAAGAAGGAGCAAAACATTTTAAAATCAGAAACAGTAAAGCAATTTCAGTCACTGATTGTTTTACATCCTGATTCTTTTCTTTAATTTATTCAGCATAAATCAGTAGAAATAACATAAAAATGGAGGAGAAAAAGGAAATAAATAGCTGTTGAACACATGTATGTTTAGGGCTGAGTCAAACAATTGCTTTCAGTCACGTTAGTGAGTTTGCATTGACTGCTGACCTTAAGCTGTTAGGTGTTGCCCTTCAGCTGCATCACAGTAATTCTGGAAGGATCATTTCTGAGGAGCTATTTTGGTAAAGCTCCAGCTGTGGACAGATTCTGAAATGGCAGCATGTGGGCTGACTGCTGCAGTCAGACCGAGATGCAAGGCTTTTGCTTTCAGTTCCATCCCTTGCTTGTCTTTGACCACACGCGATTTTTTCCGTTACATCTATTAAGAAGGTATTCCTTGATTTGTCATAGTGAGGCTATAAAATAGTCTTTCTATAAAATAGGCTGTCTGGTGTAGTCTTAGTAAATTCCCAAGTTATAAAAAGGATTTATGAACTCTGAGATTTTCAGAGCTTACACAGAAATGTAAGTGATTTCTTTTCCAGGCAACCTGTACCACTGCTAATTTTATTGAAGATTTTCATGATGATGCTTCTGGTGACTGTTTAAAAAATGAAAAGGCTTAAGTAAATGTATCAGTGGGAGGAAAAAAATTGTCATAAAATGTATGATACAGCTCAATCACATATGCAATATGAAAGGCACCGTTTTGTTGTGTAAGAGACGCTCTAAACTTTCCAAAAGAAAAACCTGCTACGTGATGTGCTGGTACCAAAGGCCAACTGGCTTGTGATATAATTGTGTTCAGTGGAGGAGCCACTCCAGGAGTTCAGGTTGCCGCTGAGAGTTGAAAGCCTATGGTGGTCTTTGCTTTGTTCTGCTAGAGACTGGCTTCTGTTTCACAAAGTGATCGTAGATATTGTACCACAGTCTGTCACTGCAGATAGCTCATGAGGCAAAGAGCTGAGGTACTAGCCCAGCAGAATTCTGTTAGACAGGCTTTTAGAAATAAAGCTGGTCCTTTTAACCCAATGTGAGAAAGCCAGTGTGCATTTTGCTTCATTTTTTCTTAAGTTTTTCCTTTTGTATGAAGAAACCAAAAGGAAATGTCTCCAAATTAATGCATTTGCATCTGAATTAATGTGTTGTGTTATTTTAAAATATTTTTAAATAGTATACTTTGGCAAGATAAAAATGCCTTTTTTTTTCCCCCCCCTGAACTAATGTATACTTGTGTTCACAAATCTGTTAGCTCCTGGTCAAATGTTAGGTACTCTTAAATGTTCTGTCTTATATAAAATATTATTTTTTAATTGCTTTATCTTCTAGACTCAAAAAAAAAAAAGAATAAATGGTAATCTACATTATTTCTGTATTGTAGTGCTTTATTCATTGTCTTCTAGCTATTTTCCAAGATTGAGTGGCTTGGTTCTGCTGTTAGTATAACATATTTCTGTAGGTTGGAGTAGGTTGGAGTTATAAAAATCTGTATTATGACATTTGTGAAATCTTGGATAACTTTCCCGTTAAGCCATGTTGGTGTATCTTACATATGCACAAAAAGGGACTAAGTAGAAGAAATGGAGCAGCTAAAATGCCTACCTTTTTCTTCAATGAAAAAGAAAAAATGAGGTGAAGAAATGTAAATGTAAAATGTAAAATATATCAACATGAATCTGGGGAAAAAAGAGCATGCTTGAAATCTTGGCCATACAGAAAAAGCTGGGAGTCTGCAATCATCTTCAATGAGGTTGTGGTTTATAATATATACAAAGCGTAATCGATGCTTTCTCCTTTGCAGAGACCTGCTCACATTTCCTAAAGAAAATCAGTTTCTGACAGTTACAGTGTGGTTTCAGTGGTGCAGTGCCTGAAATTTAATGGATTACATTTTACTAATGATTAAACGAGGCAGTTTTTACTTCACTTGGCCATATGCATTTTCAATGATCCTGCAGGCATCTATAATTTCCCGGAAAAAGGAAGCCAAGGCTGAAGAACTTCAGGCTGCTAAAGAAGAGATGTCCAGTGCTGAAAAGCAGATGCTACAGAAGACCAGTCAGGCCCATGAGTTAGAAGGCTCTGAAGTTCTGAAAGGAGATGAGGTATGCAATAGAACAGTGGATATAAGGAAGAGGAAATTTGGGAGAGATGAATCAATTTTTGTTAACTCGCAATGTCCTTTTAAGTTTACATTGCAATAACTGCTTCTACAGTATCTTATCCATCCCTATGGAATGTTATCAAACTACATGGCCTCAGCATTGCAACAGATGGGCTTCTGGGTTTTTTAATGTACATTTTTTGTCCTCAAATTCCAAAATTAATATATTTGAAGGCTTTTTTTTTTTTTAATGTGCAGATAATTCAATGCTGTCCAGTGCTTTCAGATGCCTTCCAATATTTATACTGCACCAGTGCTTGATTTGTAGCTATTCTCAAATTATTAATTTCAGTTACCCACATTGTCCCTAATAGATTGCAAGGTGTATGAGGATTTAATGTTGGGCTGTCCTAACAGTCTGGACGCCGAGTCAAAATAATGACAATATCATCACAGTGGCATGATGGTAAATAACAAATTACAAAACTCAACAAGACTAATAAAGGGCTTAGGAGTTCAAATGCTAAATCATGTCGATTAATTTTATTATTTGGTGTGTAATAAAAATCTGTGTATCAGAGATGCAGTTGGATTTATTACCCACCAAAATTTTTGCTTTAAAAAAAGAAATTCCCAGACCCTCGTGAAGTTTGTCTGCGATACAGACATTGAGTAGCACAATCAGCCTCGCTCAGGTGAAGTTCTGTTTGAAGCTGGACTTAACAAAGCAGCTTTTGCTTCTTCAGAAGTTTGCAGAGGATAAGGCTGCTGCAGCTGGGTAGTGGTTTGTCAGCAAAGTGAATTGACTTTTCTTAGGACAATAATTTTTCTCAATTTGGAAAGAGCCTGCTCAGTGTACTCACAGGCAGAAGCACTAAAGCAGAGAGTATTTTAGCTGCATCATTCTCTGACTTAATATATCTTTTCATTCCCTCATCTATTGTCTTCATTTTACCATCATTTATCGAGAGTAACACTCTTCGCTTTCTTTTTCTTTGTCTGTTTTTGTGCTTTTTTTACATACTGCTCAGTACAGGGAACGCCCTTCGCAGAAGGAACTCCCTTCCTGATCCCATGGGATATGCCTGCTCCACAAAATCAGTTTTCTTTTGAAGGAGTTTTAAAGGGTGAATCGAGTATGGAAATGTCTGTGTACACTCGTGTAAAGGCTTCCTGTGTCATGGAATCCAGGCATATTTCACTCATGCCTTCTTGCCTTTCTCCCCTTCTGTAAAGCAAGATGAAAACTATGGCACAGAGGCTTTGAAGAATTAAAAGGTTGATTTCTTTTACCATGAGATCCTATACACATTCCATAGGTGTTTCATAGGTAACAATAAGAAGACCACTGCATTAGATTTCTCTCCACTACGAGGTTTTCAACAGCAGTGGGCATGTTGCTAGATTCTTTGACAACTTTTTAAGTAAAAATAAAAACAGAAAGCAGGCAATCTGTGTTTCATGACATGTGATGGGAAAGAAGTGTTTAATTAATCAACAAGCATACATTACCAAGACAGCAACATATGTTTTACATTATCTGTAAATGCAATGTAAGGTAAGAAATAATTTATGCTGTGCCTATTCTTGAGAGGGACGACATACTCTGACCCATAGTAATTCAAGGAGAGCAGGGTAGGAGGGAGACATGGTTACAGAACCTTGTAAGGGGCTTGATAATGAACAATTCAAGTTAATTGTCTGACACAAGGAAGAGGATCAAAACAGAAAAAAGACAAGACCTGTTTTGAGCATAACCTGCATTTCTTTTGTTCAAATATGTTCTGCTTTTGACTTTCTAAGTGTTTTCAAGTCTCCATTTTGAGGAGTGAAGAACAGATGACTGAGCACTTTGGACAAAACCATCAGCTTAAAATAAGAAGCATTTCCTGTTTTGTAAAATACTTTCTGCACGTTGGCCCAAGGAAGCCAGCACTGTACAGTCTGTGTCCTGTTCTTGTTTGTTACTTCATGAGGTGTACTGCAGTGGTACTCACGGGCACCAGGGAAAAGCAGTAAAAAGAGGGTTTTCTATGGCTGAAAAGTAGGAAAGGATTTGAATTCTTGATGATTTTGATAGCTTCTTTTTCAAAGGTCACAGCTTCCTCGCCTGTAAAATGGAGATAATGATATTTAATTCTTTTGTAAATGTCTGCTGCCAAAAATGCTGCATTAGGTACTACAGTGTTTGTATCTCCTTAAAGTACATTGCAGATGCCTGTTACAGAGCAGTCCAGCTTCCGAGTCTAGGTTGTGAGAAGACAGGACTGATAAATGAGACAAATAATTTGGCAGGGATGAGGTGATGAAGCAAAAGTGAAGTGAACAGGTTATCTCTCATCAGTAAAAGTCTTGGTTCATCGCTCACCAGACAACCTTTTGCTATAGATTTATTTCTGATATATTATGCTTTTAAATTTGCATGTTTTGCCTCAGTGCTCTGTTACTCCAGCTTTGAGCCGATACCAAAGGAAATCTTGATTGATGTCATGGAGAGTCCTCATTGCAATACGTGTGTTCAGTGGGGACAGACTGGGGTTGCACCTTCAACCTTCACTTTGCACTCTGACAACCGAGAGATTCCTTATGCTTTCTTGTTGCAGTCGCACACATTACATTTAGTTCCTCCATTTTCAGAAAGGAAGAGGGGTTTGTAACAAATAGCTTTGGTCTCTGACGTTTAAAATGGGCTTTTAATCCTGCCATGTTTACCCCATCTACATGCTACGGTTAAATCAAATAATAATTTTTCCATTCCCCAGTATTTCTCATCTTCTCTTTGTCTCGCTTTGCTGTATCCTCTTGTATCATGGCACTCACAAGACTTGGCAATCGAAGAACCAGTGCCTTCCTAGCTTGCCCTTCCATACCAGTATTTGGATCTCCAGTTGAGGTCTTCTTAGCACTTCATTCACCAAAAGGTCAATCCTGGCTTATGTTTTTAGGTGCTAGTGTTTTGTTTGTCTTCTGTAATCATAAAAAGGAACGTTACAGCATTCTGTTTGGTTTGAGAGGTTGTACAGCTAGATAGAACTTAAAAGAAACAGCAGGGAATAACCAATTCATTTACATCAAACGCACAAAAAACTAGGAATAAATTGCCTGCTTTGGGGATTATGAAATCTTTTTAAGTACTTCAAACAAAGTACAATGAGCATGGGGCAAAGTTGGCAGGCTCCTAGCTGCAGCTGTCAGATCCTGAAAATTAGGGAATCAAATGTTGACACTTAGAAGGCTGGATGGTTCAATTACAAGTGATCCTAGGTAAAGCTGTGATATTTTTAGCTCTTTACACAACGCATTGTACTTTGCAGAGTTCAGCCTAGGGCCCCAAGAACCTCGACTTTCCCAAGGTATCAGAATAGAATAGTATCATAGCTGTGCTTAGCTACAGTAGTTGAAATTAATATGTTTTTGAGAATGTGGCATCAAAAGTCCTATCAGTTTGTTAACAGATAAGCAAAGTTTGCATATTCATTCACATGAGTTCAGTTTCTTTCACACAAGTGCTCATCCATGCCTATCTGCCCCCGGTAAAACAATATAAAAAATATTTCAACTTGTAAACAGAGAAAACAGGCAGTTTTGGACCATGGATCTTGTCACTTTTTCTCTAAAACCACTGAGTCCATCTGAATCCACCAGGAAGTTGTCTAGGTCCAAACCAGGTAGATGGATTTTTAAGAGAGTAGACATAAAGGAGCTCACAAGTTGAACGTTACATGGTTTAAGCCAGGACCCAGGATATATTATCCTATCGGTTTGCTGCCTTTCTCTTAACTTTTCTCTCAGGTTCTAGGTGCAGTTATATTCCTGCCTGTCAAAAGCTCCTTACACATGAAAATAGGAGAGTAGTTTGTAGTCACGTTGTGAGAACAAGAGTGACAAATCTGTAGGATTCTTACAGAAGCCAGAAGCTCTTTGCTGTGAGAAGTTAACCATCATTTCAGCCAGAAGTATGCAGTGATTCAGACAACTCTGAACTGAACTGAATGCTCTTTCAGCACCCACTGTCATGAATAAATCATCAGCTTTATCGATCTGTGCGTTTTCCGTGATAACTGAAAAGGGTTTTTCATTATAAATACTGTGATTGATCTAAATTATTAGTAATAGCTACTTTAATACTTATTTCCTGACCAGAAGCAAGCACTCCTGTAGAAGAGATTTCCTACTTAATGCTCATGAAGACTTTTCCCAATTGCTCTGTCCAGGCTGTGGGATACTTTTCTTTTCATAGATTGAGGTAGCACCACTCATATCTTTTAGAATTTTGTCCTTCTACGTGTGAGTTATTAACTACATCCAACAATGGCTGTACTAGCTTAAATTTAGAGCCTCTTAGCAAAAAGAACTGAAAATCTGTCACGCTCAGGAACTTTTCCTAACTGAATTTTAATACTTTGGACAGTCTGTATCCTGTTAATTGGTCTAGTTAGAAAATTAAAACATCTGTTCTTCAATTCTTAATAAAAACAGAGATAGTCAGCTAAGAGTTTCTGCAATTATTGTGCTTATGCAAGTATTTTTATTAACAAAACTGTTTATTTGGGACCACCTTTAGATTATACACTTCAGAAAGAATTTTATTTTTTCAATTAATACTTTATTTTCTGTAATACTTTCATATGAAGAATATTTTTATTACTATAACACAATCCAATCGATACAATAATCCAGAAAATACTATTTTTCAAGATTTGACTCAAAAGTGAGGGATTAATCTGGGATTTGTTCTTTTTCTGAAAACAAGCTTATCCATTTTCTCCTTTAATGATAATCTGGGAATAAGAACCTTGTGAAAACTTCACATGGGGCAATTGTTAGTTTTAAGGAGGTGAAATGATGGGTTTATAGTGAAAACCTAGGAGTGAGCATTAGAGGAGCTGGGCTTTGATCCCAGTTCAGCAAAGCACTGAACTGTGTGGTCAACATGGTTATGTTCTTTCCTGGAGGGAGAGGAGTAACCTGCCAGACTCTGTCTGGTCCTGGAGAAGCTATTTTAATAGCTGTGATTTGATTTTGTCGGATTTAGAATTGTCATAATACTTAATTACTTCACAAAAGTGTGGTAAGACTTAATCTGGTGCTGGAAATCTCTGTTGGATTGTAGTCAGTGGAGAAGCATAAAGTACTGGCATTGCTGGATTCTTTAAAAAAAAAAAGGAAGATAATTCAGGAAACCTGCCCAGGGATGGTAGATACCTGCATGCAGCTGGACATTACAGGAGGGATCAAAGTCCCTCCTGTAACTGTGAGTCTTATACTGGAGGCTGTGTTTTTATACTGTATTTTTGTACCACTTTTTGAGAAGTATTGGTAAAGAGTTTGCTTTTTATATATATATATATGAACTTTCATTCCCTCTATTTCATAATCTAGATTCCACACTTGTTACGTTACAGACCTCCATAAAAATAGCCAAGTGAAAAAGCAGGATCTTTCTTTGCTTTCCTTTGGATAGTTTTTCTATCTGACTCGGCGAGCGAACATGGGTCTCCAGGATTGTTTACTTTAACTGCTAACTCAGTGCCAGCATTTGGTTCTTGTCCAGTCATTTAATCTTTGAAGCTTAAATAACTATTTGTGTTAAGTTGCTTGAGAAAGAAAAGCTTACTAGTGAACATCTCCTTGAATGGTCCATCACTGGGCACCGACAGATCCATGGGAACGCTGTAGGTTGAGCCTGCTGAGTGTTTACGCAGGGAGCAGTTGACCTGGTCTATGGGAAAATGCTGCTGCTTAAAAATGGATTCCTTTTGGGTAGATAACTTTAAAGTCATATGGCTAGACAATGTTATTCTTTGGTGAACTATTCCAATTATTTAAAAGAGCTTTTACTGCAGTAAAATGCAATATTTTATAGCATTTTAAGGGCTTGGTTTTTCATCTACATATAGACAGAAACATGAGATGTATAAAGCTTCAGAAGTCACGCTCACACAAATGAGAGCACTGGTATTTTACAAGGAGCTTATTTATAATTTTACAATAATTTATTTATAATTTTTGGAAACCTATGGAATGATTTCTTCAGCTTTTAGGCTGAAGAAACTTAATTTTGCCATAAGATCCCTCCAAGCTGCTGATTTAAGTGCAGTCAGATCTAGTAACTAGCTCTGAATTTGGCCCTGGGTCTAAAGGCGGCTTCAGTTAGTGAGATTTTGAGGGGTTAATCTCTGCTGCGTCTGAGTAGATGAAGTCTGTTGAAAATTCTGCCACACTATTGATTGATTTCTCTACAGATATTATAATTTTGCTTGTTTGCTGCAATAAAAGCTACGGGAAAGGTTGAATTTGCTTTTAAAAAGCCAGAGATTGCGATGAAAGATGAGCATCCATCTCCTCAAATGAATAGGTTTCGCTTGTCATCGTGAGCAATTTGTAATTCGTTTTGGATGAAATTTTTATTATACAGTCCTAACTTAATCAACTAATAATAGAACATTGGTGGAATCAGTTCTTTGATCAAGAAGATCCTTTGACTTCCATTGTAAAATACATTATGCTTTGAATATTGAATATGCAAATACCTCCCACTTGAGCTATTTTCAAGGCCTTGAAAGTAGCTATAGAAGTGAGGAGAATAATAGTTTGCTTTTCATCCTGGGATAAACTGACAGAAAATCATTCAGATTTGATGGCTCTATGTGGTCACATATTAAGTAAGTTTAATCCTTTACATCATTTTTTACTATATTCCACTGGTCATATGAAATATCTCAGGAACTACTCAATCAAGACAGACATCTATGCTTCCCTTAAATTTCCTTCAGTTAGTTGAGGAGGTTGTATTTCTACTTTTATAATCTCCTGAACATCACAGAAAATTCGGTATTGTCTAAGCAATTAAAAAAAGAAAGTCTTTTGTATTAACTGAGAGGATAATACTTGAATTTGCTGTGAAAAATAATTAATTCTGGTAATACTATATTAAGTGTGCCAATAATATAACAAAGACAGTATGACTGTCACAGAACGGCCTCCGCTGAGCAGCGCGCTGGCTGAGGTGACCTTGGCTATCCTTGTCCTAGGTAGTACGCACAATGTAAAATGGTGTTGCAAAGCCACACAGAGTCCAATCTGCATAGAGCACATTGAGTAATTTGTGGGTTTGTTCTTTCACCAAAAACGTTTATAGCTTTTGGCTTTAAAAATAGTTCTGGAGCATAGCAAGAGAGAAGCAGCTTTGGCCTAGATATTGCACAGGATGGCAGATGAACAGGGTTGATTTCATTTTGGGCATTTTGCCCAGGACACTTTTTATAGAACATACAGTTACTCTGGGGGTTCTTCGTCTGTGGTCACATTGGGTTTTTGGATTTATTCTTTAGGAGAGGCATAATTTTACAAAAAAAGAAAAATTAATGTAAATTCCAAAATCTAAGTTCTTTTATGTTTGAGTTTTAAACTTGTATCTGTGGTAGTGGGAATCCTGTTTTCTCCTTGGGGCTGCCTGTTTTATGCTCGCTCTGCACACGCTGAACCCCTCCTCATCGAGGAACATTCTGAAGCCTGTTCTTACATCATTTACTCTAATAAATTTTATTTGCTTTCCAGCTCTGGGTGTGAATGCATTTTTGAGCTGCAGCTGGCATTTGCCTCATCGCTCTAACGTAAAATATAAGAATAAGAGCTAAGCCTGTTTGACAGATGGAAAGCATTAAGGCAAAGAAAAATACTCCATGTTTGTTTCAAGACCTGATATTTCATATGTTACAAATTGAGCACACTGATTCAGATGTAAATTCGCTAAGGCTGTTGAGCTGTAAGGATATGTATTATTTTAATTAGTCTTTAATAAAAGTAGAAAATCTCCGTTACTTTAGATTTTGAGTGAAAGAGATATTGCATTTCTCTGCTTCTATGCAAGGACTCTGCTTTTATTTTCCTGTTTTTAAAACAGTGATATCATTGAGGTCTGCAAGAGTCAAGGAAAGAAAATAATGAATTTTAACTATTGAGAACTTGCATTGAAAAAGAAACCCAAAAAACCCAAGAGATAGTCTTTTCCCATGCCCTCTTCCAATTTCTCTGCACTTTCTTATCATGTTTCTTGGTCTGCAGAGCAACTTGGGGCTATGCACTGCTGATCTGGTGCTCTGTTACAAATGCAAATTACTATTACATTAAATTTTTATTATCCATGATTCTCACAACATTTTGGGAAGAGTAATTACTTTTGAAACTGTCTCACGGTGGTGAGCAGAACCAAATGACCTCACTATTACAAATGAGTGAGCTGGGACAGAAAGCAATAGAGCTGGTTTTCTTGAGCTCAGTGAACAAATGCAGAGCTGAAAATAAATAGACCCTGGGAATCCTGAATTCCAGTCCTCTGTTCTAAACACTTGATCTTCAATATGCAGTCCAAATAGGATAATTACATTTTATATAGCAACAGTCTGTGATAAGGCCTTTTTTTTTTTTGCTTTAAGTTAAATGATATTTCTGTTCTCTCCCATTCCAGCTCAAACACTATGTTAATAAGCTCCGGAGCAAGAACACATTTTATAAAAAGAAGCGACTGGAAATAGCAGAAATTACAGCTGAGTATGGCATCCTCCAGAGGACAGAAGAACTTCTAAAACAGCGCCACGAGGCTATTCAGCAGCAGTTGGTAATACAAGCAGTTACTGCTCCCACAGTCCATCACCCTTCCTTCCTGATAACAGCTGTACATAAGATGGATGTTGTTTTGCTACATTCTAATGTATATTGTCCTCAGCTCTCCTGCTGTCAATAGTAAAAGAGTCATTAGGGTATACAATTTATTTTTGTCTGTTGACTGTGCTAAGCTGCTGTACTTTATGTTCAGCAACTGTTTTTTACAGGCAGTCACGACTGTCCTGCAAGTTCTTTTTAGACTGAGGGGCTTGACCCTGCTTTTTAAAGTCAATGGTAAATCTTCACTAACTCCAGTGAGAGTAAGGCTGGTTCTTAAATGAGTTTTTGGTATCCACATAAATGGTAAGGGCTTTGAAAATTATCAGCAGCGAGTAGGATTCAAGTTACTGCTGAGAAATACATAGGAAGAGTATTTAAAAAAAGAGCAGGCAGGAAGGAAACATTCTAACCCCAGAATATTTAGAAGAAAATGCATTTCACAGTCAGTGAAAAATTTAAAACTGGATGAAAGCTTTTTCTAAGCCAGAACAGCATGAGAAGGATTTCTGCTATGCATATCTGTAAGCATTCAGGGAATATACATGCATCCCAAATGCAAAGACATTCCCTTTTTAGTTCACAAAAATCTACTGCTGTGTTATTTTCTTCCAATACCAGTATTCTTGTTATCAAAATATCTTGGGTTTATTTTTCTTCTATCTTTTTTTTTTTTTTATATGTACTTATTTTGGTTTTTTAAACATAAAAAGTACTTGCCTTAGAAAAAGAAAACTGGAAGTGTGAAATACATGGGACAGGCTTTGGAAAGAGACACAGATGCAGTGGATGATGTCATACTCTTTCAATAGGGCATTTATTGTTTAATGAGGATAATGGACTTGGAGTTCATAGATACATGGCACTTCTAAGAATGAATGTTTTGGCTTTTTAACAAATTGTGGATGTGTAAATCAACACTTAGCTTTCAGATTTCAGAAAATACCCTCCTTACATACTTAACAAGCAAACCTTGCTAAAGGCCATTACATCAACATAGAATTAAATGTAAAGTTTATGTAATGTAATGCTAAAATTTGGTAAGACTGTATTAGTATTACTGTAATGAATACAATATTTAGTTTTCCTTGACAGTTGTTTAAAAAATAATTAGCTACATTTTCAGATTAAGCATCTGAACATTCGTGGAAGTTCTTCAGAGCCTGACCTAAAGCCCACTTTACTTTGTGGAAACTTTCTGGTAATTTCATTGAGCACTGGGTGACCAAATAGTGTATTTACAGAAAGTTGTTATTATCCTACTGTACAGGCACTAGATAAAAAGTTAGTTGTTCTAGCAGCTAGATTATTAATCACTTTTAAAATAAATTGATTACAGTACTTACCTTTTCTGCTCTCTTAAAATATTTTGGCTCGATGAAGGAATTTGCTGTTCATTAATGGACTCACATTTATTTTTTGTGTCTGCAGCAAGCTATTGAAGACAAGAAAGGTATTTCTGGATATAGTTACACCCAGGAGGAGCTGGAAAGAGTATCTGCAGTAAAGAGTGAAATGGATGAAATGAAAGGCCGAACACTAGATAACATGTCTGAAATGGTGATTTTTGTCTTAAAACTATTGTATTTCCTCAATTTGAATATCTAGTTCCTCAGCATCTAAAACCAAATTTAATATTTGTGTTTTGGATTTTAAATTGTGTTTTAATCTGTGTTTATATATAAGAAAAATTTTCAAACAGGATTCATCTGCAAAGGTAATCTTGAAAAAGTTTAATAAAATGTGCATCTCTTTTAATGTATGAAGAAGAAATTTAGAAGTATTAAAAAAAAAAAATCCTACAAATAAATCCTGTTTTCCTCCACTTCAGAAACATTAGTGATCTCAGGTCTTGTCATCTTTTTTTACTTTTTTTGTGATTTCAGAAATGGTTTCATATTTGTTCTTGTATATTTTTAGAAAGAGACAAATGGTGTGAATCTTTAACAGAATCTTTTTCTAAAATGTTTGTAAATCACTCAACTTAAGTATTTGTTAAAAAAATACATAATATGCCTAAAGAGCAAGATATCTTGTCTCTTTCTCTGTAGCCTAATTTTGAATTGCCCTTAGATCTGTCGTGTTTTAATTTAACTTCCCACATAGCCCTAGAAATGAGACAGAACTGGAATTTCTAATTAGAAAATATCATAAAAGTGCAAAAAGCAAAGTAGCATTTTTTGAAATCATTAGGACACTTTTAAAATAAATGGTAGAATTAAAACAGAATGACTCTCAAATAGAAAGCTGGATCGAATTTGAGTTTTTGGTAGAAACATTTTAAAGTGAAATGTTTTAGCATTTTCAAATTTTATTTAACCTATGCAAGTTTGTTTGTTTTCTTGAGGATTTCTCTCAGTCCACACCTCTATGCAACTCCTTCATTTCCTTAAGCTCTTTGGGTGCCTCACATATGCTGTCTTCTGGACTTCTCTGTAATGTTCCCAGTTGAAACAATGGGAGCAGAATTTGGTTTATTTGTGGTAATGACCTCACTGCAACATGGGCACTTTGCCTGTGTTAATTAGGAAATAATTACCAATTTATATATAGTTCAGGCTTCATTGCACGTTTTTTTTTTCTCTGCATATTTTGGTTTTCTTCTCTTTCTTTTCACATTCCTAATTACATAAATGTACTATTAGTATCATAGTGTTAATGTGTATTATTTTGTCCCTCTATCAGGTAAAGAAACTGAATTCCCTGGTGGCAGAGAAGAAGGCCAGCCTAGCTCCTGTTATCAAAGAACTGAGACAGTTGCGTCAGAAGTGCCAGGTTAGTAGAAACACTTCTCTGGTTCTCTGTAAGTAAAGTCAGAATCACAAATAAGTCTGATTTACAGATCTCTGTAGTGCTATACAAGGACATAATCAACTCTTGAGGAAAGCTGGAAACAGCAGAATGGATCAAGAGTGATTTGCAACAGGCAACATGTGAAAGACCAGAATTCATAAACACTGATGGTGCAGGCACAAAATCAGGCTGAAAATTTTGTCCTTTATAGCAATTTAAAAAAAATTACTACACCAGGGAAAAATTTAAAAAATCATGGTTCAAAACCATAGTAAAGTTAGTTTTCAAATTGGTTTCAGAACTTTTTCTGCATCTCAGCACTAATGATCTCAACTACCACTCTCTCTTTTAAATGGATTGCAAATAATATCTCATCCACATCGTTGAGGACATTGATCTAAGTCCTATATTGGTCTGTAGGAATGACAGATTTATCCATTTGTTTTCAAAATTTGAGAGAGAGCTGGAAAAATAGTTATTCGGGTCCACAGCTGCTATGAGTTGGCTCATTGCCATAGAAGTAAAGGGAGCTATCCATTTATCTATCAACCAAATTTCCAGCAAACTTGCTTTTGATGGTTCTATTAAAAGTGTCAGCAAATTAAACCCAGCTGACATTTGTTGTGTATAAGTAGAAAGCAGGCTTTTCATAGATAGCAAGTATATTAATTCCTTCTTAATCCCTATTTTTATTATTATTTTTCCTTTCTTCTTGCAAACGGTGCCCTATTAACATACCACATCAATGCTATGGATGTGGCTGTAAAGAGGAAGTTTGTGTGCTATGTTGTGGTGTATACAGCTGATCCTCCAGTATGTGAGGAGAGGCTGGTGGCTTCCCCCTGTGTAATAATACCCGTGTGCCTGCTCGGTTTATGTAAGTGCCTGTGAGCGTGCCAATAGCTGAGGTCGGTGTGTGAGACCAGCAAGAACAAGGTCTGCCTGAATGTCACATGTCAGTCAATTGAAGATTTCATTTATGTGCCCTTTTGCCCTTTTCACATAAGGAATTAACTCAAGAATGTGATGAAAAAAAAATCCAGTATGACAGTTGTGCAGCAGGGTTGGAGAGCAATCGCTCAACATTGGAACAGGTAAGACGGTGGCTTGTTCATGTGTATTAATAAATGCTCTGCAAGATGTTATTCACTAGGGTACAATATTTTCCCTGCCTTCCCTCTGGATATGGAAAGTACAAACCCACTTCAGGTGGAAATGAGTCAGTGGTGATCCACAAGTAGGCAAGTCATGCCTGAGGCTGTGGACGACTAGCTACAGTGGCACACATCTCCTGTTCTGAGCAGCAGCAAAGGGACTCAGCGGTGCATCAGTCCATCCTCCAACATCCAGCTTTGATTAGCAAGAATACTGTAAAAAAAGGTGCATCTGCCAGGTATCCTGCTGACCTGGATAGTATCTGTAAGGAAAGAATCCATAAAATAAGGATTAATTTATCCAGACAAATCTTTATATGTGTTCAGCAGATTCATTACGTTAGCAACCAATCCAGTGGATAATTAATGTATTGAAATTGATGGCAAAGATACTTCATTAAATGTGACTCTCTTGCATTTTGCATACAACAGTTTTAAAAATACATCCATATAGGTGTAGCTAAGAGTTTGTGTGTATGCAGTTTATTCATTGCTTGAACTATAGCACTTTTAGGAAGGCAGGTACCTAAACCACCACAATCTTTTAAGGTTGGGACAGACATAACCAATATTCACATGTTTATATGAATCTGCTTTATCTCAATAGGTCACCTCCTGTGAATTTTGTTTGGACTTGATTTTTCAAGGCCTTGTTCACATAAGGAATATATTTCAAAATAAAAAAGGCTTACATTTAAGGTGTGGGTGTATATATAGATAATTCTTTTTCTGTTCTAAAAGTACCTTTGTATGGCTTAATGCGAGCAAAATAAAAGAATCCCCAGATGAAGCTGCTATGAAGTGGACCTTCCATAACAACTATTTTACAGAAGCAGTCAAGGCTTTTTTTCTTGGTAGACAAATCTTAGTCATTTTCTAACACAGGACGACAATCACGCCCACTGATTAAGCTGGACATGACTGTCAGCAAACTCTTGCAGTTGAACCAGAGAATTCAGTTTGTTTTTCTGAGAATCACAGGGTGTCAGAGCTTTGGAGTTGACAACTGCTCTGCGACCTGGTGTATGTGAATTCCATTTGGATTATTACATTTTTTTGGTATGGACCATTTAGAGATGGGATTAACCCACTATTTCCATACTCCTCAACATAATTATTGATTGCTAATTAACACACTATTAACACATCTGTAGCTTCTAACATACATTTTGCAGATGCGTTCCAGGAAATGCCTATTCACAACTGTATTTAGCACTTAAGATGTGCTTAGTAACAAGAGTCTTGGCAGCACTTGTGAAGTGTCTGTTAGGAGTCAGTCATATTAATAAACACTTATTAACAATCATTTAGCATCTCTGACTGTGACTGAAACTGCAAATCTAAAAAAAATCCATTGTTTTGTACTTTAAAAGAGATTTCTGTAAAGCCCAAATTATATAAACATTTAAGAAATTAGTAATTCAATACTATGCCCGTTTCTATTCTGGACTCTGATGGTTTATATAGCAATAGAGGGCATCTCCTGTGGACTTCTAGTTACAATGTCCTTTGAAATCTTATTCCTCTACTACAGGAAGTGAAAGGACTTCTTGAGGAGTGTGCTCAGGAAGAAAGCAACTACCATTACATTAACTGCATGAAAAGGGTAAGATCACAAGAGAGACCAAATTGTTCATTGTGAAATGAAATAGCAATTATTGTTATTTTTTAAAAATTATGTATTCTTTATAGAATGTAGAAATACAGCTGCAGCGTGCTAAAGAAGAAATGAAGGCGTACATCTCCCCAGACCCACAGGAGAGACGAAGGGCAATTCGGTAAGTACACTGATGTGTTTCCTTTGTGTTAACTTGAAGGATATTCAGGAACTAAGGTTGAAGTCAGGAATTTTCTCACTGGCATTTGAGCTGGAGGAGTTCACCTGATAAATTTAGAAACACTATAATAATCTAAAAATAAGCATCTTGAATTCCAGTATATACTGCTGTAAACCTACCAGTTCTCTCAGACATACCAGGAGATTTTCCCTTCCTGCTGGAGATTATAGGCCCCAGATAGCGGTTTTAACTTGCAGCCCCTGTTGGCACAAGCTCAGAGAAGTTCTGCTTCAGTTCAGTCCTGGAGGAAGTGTGGCCCTACCAGATGTAATGCCTCTGCCAAGTTTCCCCCAAGACTCCAGCGTGCAGGAGAAGATGGTTTACCACGTCTCAGAGAGCAACCACATGATGCCCTCAGATTCTGGCCATTTTTTGCAGATCTTCTACTCTTTTGGGTACAACAGCTGTCACCATCGCTGGTACAGGAGTGGAGGAGTGCATATACTCATCCTAAATGGATTTTGTTCTGCTCCTACTTGCAGTTCTTACTGGAGGTAGAACAAAGTGGTCTTTGGCTTTCACACCACAGTATTTCTCCGTCGTGAAAATATTCATCAGAACAGTAGTTTTAAAATTCATGTTTGCTGGGTTTGATCAAGGGTCTTTTTGTTTTGTTTTTGAATGAATGAAATGAGTGAAAAACACTGTTTTGAGAGTAGGATTTGGTCTCCTTCAAGGTGTTGTCATTACTGTACCAAGAAATCTCTGCAGTGTATCATTTTTAGTCAGAGCTACGGGGGCATCAGCTCTGCCTTGTACCTCTCCATCCCACAGTCAGCATTCCTCTGATTTGCTTTACTGTTTAGGCATTAAAAAGCCACAGCAGTATAGTTCCTTGATGTGAAGCCTCTTAGATTTCTGCATTTGTATTTCAGAGACAGGACAGATTGTAACTTGTCATGTCAGAGCTGTGGTTCATGTTCAGTCTTCTGTAAAATGTGACAAAATGCTTCACAAAATTGTCCCATTCACAAAACAATTTAAAAACATGACTGAGTGGCAAAGCAAAGATAGAACTGCTTAATGAGATAATTAATAATCATTCTGCATTCCATTTGAATGCTTCAGACCATGCAGCATGCTGACATCACAACGGGAAAAGAGAACTGGTAGGGGATAGAAGAATAAATGATTTTCCCAAGATCTCTGTCCTCTTAGGACTGTCAGCCTTTCAGAAGAATTTCTGGACTTCTCTGTTGCAGCGGTGGCAGTGAGGGAAGCACCATTAGTTGGTAGTATATGTAGTCAAATGCCATTTGGTATCACCTGAGGCAATTTTGTCACATGTTATAGAGTTAAAAAAAAGGCAATAGTTGACCACAGAGATTTTATGGGCTCTGGAATGGGGCCAGTGACAGGGATAATAACAATGTGTCAGACTGAGTGAGAAAACTCCTAGGGATTCCCTCAGGAGATGCTGAGAGATGAGGTCGTCTTCCTCCATCAGATCCTTCATGAACTAGAAGTTGTCCCGATGCACCTTGCACTGGTACCAGTGGAGCTGCATCTCCTGCTCTTGTAGAACATGAGGCAGAGATCACTAGAAAATGAAGGGCTGGATTAATGTCCATCACAGAGACCTTCTGCAAGGATCTGAGGCATCAAAATGTTTAAACTCTATGGAGGAAACAATGGAGGAAAAATAAGAGTAAGAAAAGAATCAAAACTACTGATTTTAGGGTGGGAGAAGAAAAGGATGAGGAGATAGAATGTGAGTGGAGGCTAAGAATTCCAACTCACAAAGTAATGGAAGGCTGGAGGAAATAAAAGATTTATCTAATGAAAGATGATGAAACAGCAAAATGAAGCAGAAGGGTAGAAAGAGAAGTGGCTGTGAGAAAGAGGTGAATATTCATTAGTGTGAAAGACAAAGCAGCTCAGCCAAGCAGCTGAGAGGAAACGCGGGTCAAACAGCAGGCACTGTCCTTTTATGGCCTCACAGGGGAGGGGAGGGTCCGAGTTTATTCACAGATGCGAAACAAAAAATGCTTCAGCTGAAATAGTTGTGAAATGAACATCCACAATGTGAGTATTCACACTGACGGGCCATCAAAGCCAGACGCTGGAATCAAGCGTGAGTCCAGCTCTGTAATTCCAGGTATGGTGAGGAGAATGTGAAGGCAGCATTACCACTCTCTCCGCTGTCCCCGTTTCACTTGCTCGCTGTGGGCACAGGAGCTGGGGAAATTATCTTCTCACAGTGACTATACACATTTCTGACCTTCTGTTAGAGGTCGCAGACCTGTGGCATTTAAACGAATTACAACAAAGGTCAATCCAGAGATCTTTGCAAAATATAAATGAGATGATAAAATTTTTTTCTAGACATCCTTTTAGAATGTGGATGTATTTTTCAGCAGACCCTGGAATGTAAACGGAGTAAAAATGAACCATAAATAGAACAGCACTTTCCTAACAACGTATTGAACAAAAAATGTCTTAATTCTGACCCTCTTTATTGAGTATAAACTCTCTGTTCCGTGGAGTCACTTCTTAGGAATGTAAAAAGTTAATTTTCTTCTCTAAAAATAGAAAGTTGGGGGGTTTTTAATGAAGTTATTAAGTTGCATTCTTTCCAGTCATCATTATAAATAGTAAAGAAAAACTTACGAGGAAAGACATCTAATCTTCTGATGATTACTTTGAAAAGTCTGCTTAAAAAAAAAAAAAAAAGGTATGTTCTTGAGGCCAAATGTGTGTGAACATCTGCTGTGTGCCAGTGGAAATAAGAAGACGCAGCGTGGCTTTCCATCCCTTTGATTTGGGGAGGATGGCGAGGGATCAGCTGTGCAGCACAGCACTTGGAGCAGCCTCAAGACGGCTCCAATTTGTTCTGCCTGGAATTGTCCAAGAGTGTGAGATCATAAAATGATCCAACCTCATTCCTTGCACGTCCCTTCTGCAGGGAGCATGGCAGGCAGGACCAGGTGGCCAGGGGCCCAAGCACTCCAGTCGACAGCCTGGTGTACTTAGTAGAAGTGGAAGGAATAGGAGAAACAAACCGCGTTGTTTCAGCGTGGCTGCTCACCATGCTCTAGCAAACCTCACTCTGGTGTCACAAAGGCTGGTATTTCTTTCTGGAAATTAGGATTTCTCTATGCAAACGACTTCTACCCTGAGCAATTTGGAAAGTTCTTTAGATGAGCTGGGTTATTTTGGCTTCTGCTAGCAAACCTGCAACCCCTAAGTGTACCTGTTACACACAAAAGACAATAATTGATTTTTTTTTTTCCAAGTGAATCAGTGAAGAGGGTTTTTTTTATTGTTATATTTAAATAAATTTTAAAATAACTACATAGTAATGTATCTGAAGCGTGCTGTTCTGGTTTGCATATTATATTGTCAGGTTTCATGTATCAAGTTTGCGTATGTCAGAAAATGATCCAGCCACTTGCTACAGACAAAGGTGTACAGCCAAGATTTTTAATAATGAATGTCAACAGTTATGCTTCTAAGCCTATATTTAGGCACCCAAATGTGAGGGCTGTTTTCTGAAAGTGAGGAATGCACAGTGGTTCCATGGCAGTCATTGGATTTGTCAGACCTGGGGGGAAATACTATTCCCCTTCATTCCTGTATTTTCCCACTTGTTCTAACACTCCATTCCCAGCAGCGAAGGGCTGTGGATTTGTAAACTCCGACGCGTAAGCACTGTGGTTAACCTCAGAGTGTCACCAGGATAAATGCATTATTAAAAAGGGATCAGGTTGATCTTATCTAAATGATCTTGCTGCTGTCTTCAAGCTGGAAGGAGCAGTAATTGTGCCTGCTTCAAAAATGTAAGAGATCTTATCCAATACCTCAACTGCACAGCGGAGAGAATCGGAGAGACCTGATCCTTGATGTCAGAGGATGTTGTCCATTGACAAAAATGTTTCTTCATGTTTCCTCTTCTATCTCATTTATGAACCTCCCAATACTTTCCTAGTTTTCCATGCTTGCATCATTATTCTGTCCTATTATACAGAACCTAATAAAATAATAATAAACTTATTTTGTATTTCCTTTAGAGAACAGTATGCACGAGTGATCCTGGAACAAGAAAACCTCGGGAAGGTAAGAATGAGTTTTTTTACCTTGTAAAAACTTTGTACAGTTCCTTATTTTTGTGGGGCTTATTACAAAGGCTGTGGTCAGTCTTTTATAAAAAGCATATTGCAGCCTACAAAGAAAATTCCATTACTGCTGGCATTGGAAACTAATACCCTGAAAAGAGATCACACTCGCTCTTCAGGGCTTGATTTCCTGCAGAGCATAGCATGAGCTGCTTGTAAAAGATAGTCAAACAGCTTAACGTGACAGCACATTCCCTGAAAACCATTTGGATAAGAAACTGAAACATGGGCATAACAAACTGTGCCAGCTCAAATTTTATGTTGTATATAAAGCAACCTGTTGAAGACAATAAATTTAGGGCCTGTCAGCCTTATCACTGTTATTAAAGGCCAGAGGATCATCAGCAGAGCAGTGTTAAACAAAAGCAGTTGTCCATTTTTAATCTTGTATGAAGCTCAGATGGGCATGGATGAGGTTAGGCTTACCAATTCACACTAAACACCTTTCTTATATTAGTTTTCTTTTTATGAGTAAGCCTGTGAGCGATTTTTACAGGTTTGGGCTGCCACTATTAATAATCAGTTGCAGGTTTCATTGTAAAACATTAATTTCATGTTTATAATATCGTTATATGAATCCACTGCAACTTGCAACTGCAAGAGCTCTGCATGGAAATGAACTCAGAATTTTAGCATCACTTCTCAAATAGATAAGAACATTATTTAGAGAGTTTTAAATCATTTAAATAATTTCCAATCCATACAAAGCAGATATCTGAGTCCCAGCTGTTAATGCATTTATCACTTACAAGGAGTGTTCTCAACTTGAGTAAATAATATTTCAGCAGCACATAAAAATCTATGTCACTCCAAGCTGCCTACATGAGCAGTTCTTGTGGTGTAGAACTGTTCAAAAAATCTAATATTTTATATTTTTAACAGCAATTACGAGAGAAGCAGAAAGTTGTACGGGAAAGTCACGGGCCAAATATGAAGCAAATGAAAATGTGGCAGGATTTTGAGCAGTTAATGGAATGTAAGAGAGAATGTTTTCTGAAACAACAAAATCAAACCGCCATCGGTCAAGTCATTCAGGAAGGAGGTAAAGACAGGCTTGTTTTATGAGCTCTTCTCTCTTGATACCAACTTGAAGTAGGAAGACGGTGTGTTGGCTTCCTTAAGGTAACTTCTTTACTCAATATTGTTGCTTTGATAATTTCTACATAAATTTCTTGTACGTTATTTGATTTTGGTGGATAAACAAAGAGAGCAACTAACCACTCTGTGAAGCTTTTCCTCCATTGTTTAAGTGACAACATAACATGGGTAGGAAGATCTGTTCTGAGAGCTGCACTAGGGTGAACCTCATCATAAATCTTCGTTTGATGAGGCTGGGAATGGCATGTATCTGCAGGGAGATCAAAGGAAAAGAAATCCTTCTCCAGGGTCACAGAAAACTTACGTAATTGCTCTGTTCCTCATTCTGTATCACTAAGGTTACATTTTTGCAAGGCCTGGGACTTGATATTGTTTAATTGTGGCCCTCCTGGCTTGGCCCTCTCCTTCCCTATTGTCTTTATTCATCTAGTGTGACTGGCAAGAATGGAGCCATTTTCGCACTGAGCTGCACAGACCTTGCCTGCACACTCCAAGTCATACTTTCCTTGCATGGTTGAATTCAACTGATTGTGCTTCCAGGAGACAGTTCATTGCTACAGCGTCAGGAGTAGGTTCTGAGAACAATTACTTGGATTCTGAGCTTTTTCCATTATCTTTTGTTGTTGTTGTTAACAAATGTATTTTTTCTTCTGTTTTTTTTCCTGAGTTGCCCATGTGAAAGTGTAAACAGCAGCTGACAAAAGGTTTTCTCCATTGAGGACATTTTGTGCTGTTTTTTCTGGGCAGCGCAGTTCCAAAGTGGTTGCAATACCCAAAGAGATGGAGGGTTATTGATGGATATAAATACAGCTCAGGGGCTCGTGCATATGCTCAGGTGTGCAAAACAGGTAGATAGGCAAAGCTGCCTTGTACTCTGGCGTTGGCCTGTGAGTGACAGGCAACTGTCAGTGCCCTTCAAATTGCATCATGAGACCCAGAGCTGACCCAGGGTAAGGGGAATGCAGGTCAGGCTTGAAACTGTCCCTCACGCTTCATCATTCTGGATAAGCACCTCTTAGCCACAGAGATCAGAAGCAGAGAGATTAATCTGTGGGACCAGAACTCCTGCTGTTCTTCTTTAGTCTCTTGTCTTTCCTGAATTTTTAGATAGGTTTTTTTAAATCTTTTTTCCTGCCTGGAGTAGAACATTTTTTCAGGACTTTAAAAAAAAAAGAAAATTGCTTTCTTTGATACCTAACTGTGAGATCTGCTGTTTTCTATATCAAGAGTGTATGGTAATTATATAGCTCCTAGTTTGCCCTTGCATCAAATATATTTGTTAACAGAAGTAAAATAAAATCTGATGACTACATTGTGACTGTATGGTATTCTCTTTTTTTACATTTAGGTGAAAGAAGGTAAATTGTTAGTGACAGGTAGCTTGCTGGGCCACAGGAAAAAAAGGTTTGAATGGGTCATTTAATGACATTTATTTCAGATGCCCCCCAAAGGGTTCAAAACTGCAGTGTATGTGTAAGGAGTGGGTCTCAGATCCATAGACTTCCAGGACTTCCTCATGTAAGCCCTCCCACACTGCTCAAGAGCTGAAGATAGACTTTCTCAGCAGCTGCACACTGATCTTTCTCAGACCGAGGAGCAGCAGCAGGTTTTCCCTGATGCCCATTTCCAATGAGTGTGGAAGGAAGGCTGCGGTGTAGGACACAGGCACAGGTAGATTTGGCCAGCGTGGGGAGAATGTGCTGCATTGCCACCACCCGCTGCTTCCATGAGTTCATTACTCTTCACAGCAGGAGAGTGGGCTTTAGTCATGGCCCCATGTCGCTCTGGAAGGGAGAAGCTCAGGAGGAGGACATATACAGACTATACAGTGTGGGGACAGCCATCTCCCTGCTTGCCCTGTACATTTTCTCCCTGCTTGCCCTGTACCACTGCACTGTAGGGCCTG